AGTCCAAGCATTCTGTCACGGATTAACGTTAAATTTGCAGAAATTATTACCTGGACAAAAAAAATATGACCGTATAGAAAATTAAATTTTAAATTGAGTTTCTTATTCTTTAAACTCGATCCAAAATGGCGAACATGGTTAAAAAAAATCGCAAAGTTGCAAAAAACGGTTTTTCTAAAATAACTAAAAAAAATATAGCACCTATTGAAAAATTTTAAATGAGAAAGTTGTAGGTTTTAAAAAGATCTATCGACTGATTTTTTGTAAGTATCGATTGCTTTGTTACTTTTCGAGATATATCGAAAAAACCGTTAAAAATCTTCTCTTTTCTCTTCTTCTATAACTCGTTACATTTACGTTCCCATATTTGCTATTTACTGCAAGCATAGCCCGCGGCAAGCCAAAAAAGTACATTTTTGAAAAATTTAAAAGTATTAATTATTTTTCGAGATATATCGATTTTTTGAAAAAAAGGCGCTCTCGAAAATTGGCTAGATCTTCTCAGCGGATAGCCCTACAGTAACGATTTTCGGTTTATTTTCTTCGTAAAGAGTTATAATACCATGCTGTTAAAAAATGTTTACGATTTTATTAATTTTAAGGATCAAAAAATGACTAAAAAAGTTGCACTTTTTTTGGGTATGTTTTTTTAAATAAATATTTCAATTTTTATTTTATGAAAATGGAGGTTAATATTGAATACTTAAATTTAAAAAAAAAATAGGATATGTTTACTTGATTTTTAGTATTAGTAATTGAGTAATAAATTGAAGCGTGCAAGCGCTAAGTGCGTCAGCTGGAGCGGACGGAGAAGTAGGGGAAAGCGGCGCGCGCTCGCTTTGAAACCAGATGACGTGCAGTCTAAAAGACTAGCGCTTGCAAAATCTTTGATATCTCAGCTTCTAGACCACGTAGAAAAAATCTTTTGTACTTAATCTGGAGTAGCTAAACACAAATATTATAGTCATTTTCGCCTTAGAAGCAAAATATAGACGACGAACAAGAAAATGAATCAAAAGACAATCCGATAAAGAAAAGAAGAATTTCATTGGATAAATAATTTTATCTATACAGGATACTTGTTAGTTTTCATTGTAATAATTTTATAGATATTTTATACATAGTGTATAATTATTAAATATTTTTGTAAATAAATTAAATTCTTTAAACTTATTTTACACCAAAATTAATTAATTATTGAAATGATGAAGGAGGTAATTGTTTAAAAGCCAGCAACTAGTACAACGTCAGTATGATTAATGAAGCAAAAAAATTAAGGTATTACACGAAAAATACTGTAATATTATTAATTATTAAAATGACGATAAATGCAAAAAAAATGTAAATTAAATAAAAACTAAACATTTACGGGACTATTTTGCTTCTAAGGCGAAAATGACTATAATATTCGTGTTTAGCTACCCCATATTAAGTATAAAAGAATTTTTGTACTTGGTCCAGAAGCCGAGATATCAAAGATTTTGCAAGCGCTAGCCATTTAGACTGCACGTCATCAGGTTTCAGAGCGAGCGCGCGCCGCTTTCCCCTACTTCTCCGTCCGCTCCAGCTGACGCACTTAGCGCTTGCACGCTTCAGTTTATTACTTTATTACTAATACTAAAAATCAAGTAAACATATCCTATTTTTTTTTAAATTTAAGTATTCAATATTAACCTCCATTTTCATAAAATAAAAATTGAAATAGTTATTTAAAAAAAAAATACCCAAAAAAAAAGTGCAACTTTTTTAGTCATTTTTTGATCCTTAAAATTAATAAAATCGTAAATATTTTTTAACAGCATGATAATATAACTCTTTACGAAGAAAATAAACCGAAAATCGTTACTGTAGGGCTATCCGCTGAGAAGATCTAGCCAATTTTCGAGAGCGCCTTTTTTTCAAAAAATCGATATATCGAAAAATAATTAATATTTTTAAATTTTTCAAAAATGTACTTTTTTGGCTTGCCGCGGGCTATGCTTGCAGTAAATAGCAAATATGGGAACGTACATGTAAACGAGTTATAGAAGAGAAAAGAGAAGATTTTTAACGGTTTTTTCGACATATCTCGAAAAGTAACAAAGAAATCGATACTTACAAAAAATCAGTCGATAGATCTTTTTAAAACCTACAAATTTCTAATTTAAAATTTTTCAATAGGTGCTATATTTTTTTAGTTATTTTAGAAAAACCGTTTTTTGCAACTTTGCGATTTTTTTAACCATGTTCGCCATTTTGGATCGAGTTTAAAGAATAAGAAACTCAATTTAAAATTTAATTTTTTATACGGTAATATTTTTTTGTCCAGGTAATAATTTCTGTAAGCATTTCTCTATAATGCTTGGACTATACAGGGTCGGAAAGTCCCCATGGTTCATCGGCCGTTACGTGAGAGCGATAAAGAGTCATAGAAATCCGTGCGATAGAGAAAGATGGTTATAAAGAAGTTGTCTAATAGTCACCGCCCATTTCGCCCTTCCACAAATAGGATCCACTTCTTATTTGTGGAAGGGCGAAATGGGCGGTGACTATTAGACGCCTTCATTATAGTCATCTTTCTCTATCGCACGGATTTCTATGACTTACATTATCGCTCTCACGTAACGACCGATGAACCATGGGGACTTTCCGACCCTGTATATGTAAACATGGGTGGTAGGTACTACAAAAAAAAGCGCGAGAAAAACTTATTTGAACAAACACTCATGTCATAATGAAAATGAAGTTATTAATTACAGTTTTCAAAAACAACAAAACATAATAGAAACGCTGTTTCCAAGCTCTAAAGGTGACATGTGTGAATTGTGATATTATGAAACATGCGATAGGAGTATAGGAATGAATGCACGCACTCCTAAAGGTTGCTCTAACAAATCGCAGTTATTTATCACTGCTCATTTACCGGAGCAGTAGAAGGTTATCACTGCTCCACGAAAAGTGCGATTTAGCCCATTTCTAAATTAGAGTAATGGCCACCGCACTTTCTTTTAATATTAATTGAAATTAATTAATGTCCACCAATTCTCCATAAATAGTGAAACTCTATAATGGTTAATATAAATTACAGCATCTAGAACCTACTATTTTTTTAAATTAAGGCCGCATAATATATAGGTATCGACTTTTTTCCAGCTAGATTTGCATGAACGCGAATAAAATAGTAATAATTGTATCTAGTAATAGCATTGTATAAGTAAATATTTTATTATTATATTATATATTATAATTTTATTTACTTATACAATGGTAATAGTACCTACAGTGGCTCTATACAAGACAGTGGCGACAATAGCCACTAAACCCCGCCCATCCACCATGTTGCATCCAATGTCAAATTAAAAGTAACTTTTTTAAAAAATAAATTAAGGACAAGAATACTTTTCTTATAAATTTTACGCACAAATTTTAAGCAAATAACTCCCTTGGAAAGTGATTTTAAATAATGATTGAATGAAGAATCTACTTGTGCAGTAGGGGAGGATAAATATATAATAATATTGGTTTTTATTTTCTAGGCAAGTAAAATTAAGCTTACCTACATTATACAATGAAATTTATTGGGTTTACATTACAAAATAAATACTTAATACTAGTAATAGTATTTGTTACAATAAATGTCCAGCAACACTTACTTGCAAGCTTTTTTTATGCTTTTTGGCATTTTTTGGAAGCTATAGGTATATAATCGCAACATAATAAATATTATAACAATATTATTTTTGATCTGATGACAATTTGGTAGATCTAAATTTAAACCAGACATTTCTTTTAAGAAAAACCTTTAAATTTATGTTTTGTCAAGATACAATCGCAAAAAATGTTGTAAAACACTTTCCATCTGCAAGAAGAAACAAAATACCACTTCATTGCAAAAAAGAGTGAATGTTCTCTAAATCTCTTAAGTACGCTAAATTTTGAAAATGTTTTATAAATCGCCGTTTTAGAACTAACAGAGTGTATTGTCTATGGAGGGTACACATCAGTTTGTACAAGTTTTTGTTGTTTTAACGATACTTTGAGTAATATATCCGCACAAATTATAAAGAGAATTTAATTCACTAAAACTAAGATTAAATTTTGGTTCTTCTATGTTAGCAGGAACTTTTACTTCCTCATAAGTAGGTGTTATATTTCTTGTTATGGTGTCCAAAAAACCTGAAAGAAATTCACGGTCGTCGTCCTTATAGGAGCTTCTGCAAACATTATAACTATCCCTTAGCACAGAATCCCCAATATAGTATCACTAATAATCACCAAAATTAAAATAAAACAATACAAATATTGATTAACACCATAAGAACGCTTCTGACACATGACACATCACAGATGAATTTGACACTGGATGCATCATGGCAGCTAAATTCACTCTATTGTCACCACTGTCTTGTACTGTAATAGTACCTACTAATTATTGTTATGTCATTGCCGCAGGTTGTGACAATGATATAACGCATGCATGACAGTTTAATTTTGATATTTAAATGTATACCTACAGACAAAAAAAAATATTGAAAATAGACAGACAGTAATAATAGAAGTTGAAAATCTTATTTTAACCGAGTATTTAATCAAGAATCAATGTTTTTTTCTTAAATTAAAAGTTATTTTAACCAATAAAGAATCTATAAGTTTATGTCATACTTTAACTACTAGCCTACTGATATATTTCAACACTTTCATACAAAAATGTAAATTCAATTCACTTAGCCTCCGATTAATTAAGTTATAATGTCATATGGAAACTATTTAATAAAAAGTCAATGCAAAAATCGGGCCTAAATATCAAAATTTATACCTCCATTCGATGGGCCTAAGTTTCAACTTTTTTTACATATCGATGATTGTCCCTTCTCTATCGCCAACCTCATTGAAATGAAATCGTTGGATAAAGGTATGCAACTCAAAATTCATATTATAGATAATACAGGTTCCACCATAACCAACGAAGAGGTTAAAAAAATAATTGACATCTGTTTTCTTAGAAAGTTGTTGAGGAGTCACCTCTCTTTGTTTGGTTTGTATAATTTTCTGAAATTTCGTCTCTTTTTAAAAATGGTAGTTGAACGTTTACAGTAAATTTTGTTATTGAGGTTTGTCAAGAAGTGTTTCAGATAAAAGATAAATTAGGTATGTGATGAAATGTTGATTAACGTTTCTTTTTTAGGGTTATTTAATGGTGTATATTATTGACACAATGACATCTGGCAACAATATTGAAACAGAATATTTGGAGCTTAATGCTAAAAATGAGTGGCCGGTAGTATATCAGGTATTTCAGGCTCATATTAATTCTTTTAATTATTTAATTATCGAACATTCATTGACCTTCATGTAATCAACATGTGAAAACTTTACAATTCACAATTACATGCTTTAAAAAAAATTACTCGAAGTAATGGTCATTAATAATGTGTATATTACATGTATTCGTCAACATATATAAAATCTATTTACAAATACAATACAATATATAGCTGATGTAAATAGTTTAGGATACAATCGAGGATACAATGATTCATCCATCATATGTCCATCACATTTTATATAAGTAAAGTATGGTAATGAAAAAAACCTTAATAACTTTTCATTATAAAGTGTGTAACTGAAATGCTTGTCCATTCTTTAATGTAAAATTCTACAAAAATTAACAAAAATAGTTCTTATAAACTTGTCCAGAAATTATTTGCTCTTGAAAAACGGAATGTTAAATATTGGAAAAATATTAACTTCAGTAGGTATTGTTATTTTTGACATAATAATACAACTATCCTTTAAACCGTGAATGAAATAAAGTATTAAACAACTACCTCTAACAGTCTTGAAATTAAAGGTAGGTATTCGGATGTATATTTATAAGAACATTTTTTGTTAACTTATGTTACATTAAAGTTTAATCAATAATTTTAGTTGGTGGTGTATGGAAAATATTCCTGCTGTATTATTTTGGGAAGTACTAATTATGAGCGGGGCATGTTGACACAATGTGCAATATGTGTGGTGTACACAGGCACCAGGATAGTAAGGGTACCAACATTTTAAATATTTGAAAAAAAAATAAATTTGTTAACATAATTGTACTGAAATGAATTACACTTTTTATTATGGGGGTGATATACGGACATTAAGTACACTTCTGTATAAAGGCACTGGATGCCACTGGCAGGTCCCTGGAATTTCCACAGAAATGCCTATCATCAATTTTGCTTACATAGGAGTTATAAATTTTTTTTAAATATGTTAAATTGGATTTTATATTGTATCAATAGCAGAACTTGCAAGCACATTTTTCAACATCTGTTGGTTCGAATTTAAAAAAACAAAGCACGTTAACAATAAGACGAAAACTAAGACCTATAAAATGATGTCATTTCACACCCTAGTACTGCTATTATTATTAAACATTTCTTAAGATATTATTAACCACCTATAGTGTTAACGTAACTGGGATGAATTTGCAAAAATATATGCTGCACCTTCACATTTCTATGAAAATTAGTAATTTTTGAAAATAATCCAGGTGGAAAAAATTATTTAAAAATATTTAGTAGTACCTAACACAATACCTCACAAATTTAATTTTTTTTTTCTTAACATCCAATTTGGGAATATGAATATACTTAATAGTTTTCTCAGTGGAATGTTGCATTACTAATAGTTTCAAATTTATTTTAACCTACACATAAACAGATTGTTGGATCGATATGAGGTGACTTAGTTCTATCCAAAGTTACTTTATTTAATCTCTAGAGGACAAAAAATGTTAGTTTTTTCGAATAACTGAAGTGTTTCTCAGATTGAAATGAAATTTGATATAATATGTACTTTTTTAACTTTGTAATTGAAGTAATTGAACTTATAGAAATAAAAAAATTCTTCCATACCTAAGCAGATATACTCTTATTTTTTTTGCGGATGTTTTCACAAAACTAACTTCAGTTCTTGTTTTGTCACAGAGAAATGGGCTTTTTTCAAGTTTTTTCTCGTAAATATTTAAGACTAACTTTTCTTATTTTGATCTGAAAACTTTGTTGTCCATATACACTGAATATTAGACATCCTGTTTATGTGCAAGCTGAACCGAAGGCCCTAGTATCTTATACACATAGAAGTCACAGAAATTAAATTTACTATTTCACTTTCTGTGGAAATTAATGAATTTATATGTTTTGTTTTGAACTTACATCTTAATTGTAAAATACAAAGTAATTATGTTGTTTCGAAAACCTTATAAGATTATATGTAAACAATTAAAATGGTCTAGGGCTTACGAAAAGCTTAATGCATTTCTGCCGAATGATAAATCAAATGTAATCACTACAAGGATGTCGGAAGCAATTAGAGATACACATAATCTTAAAAGGGCAAAGTAATGCAGAATTTAAAGCTTATCAATGTCCCATGCAAAACCAATTGCATTCCAATTCACTTGAATTTTATTTAGAAAAACTGAAAATTGCTTTTTTTTTAAATCGGTTGTAATTTTATTATTTGTAATCTAGAAACTTTTCTGATGTAATTTTTTATCAGTGACATAGTTACCAGAATAAAAAGAAGAAATTTTATGCAGGGTGTCCCAAAATAAGAGCCAATATTTGAACCAACATTTAGCTCAAAAGCAACAACTTTTGTTTGATAATTTTTTTTCCAAAACTGGATTTTAAGGTTTTTTTAAATATAAATTTTTGTTACCCGCTACTGAAACGAAATCGAAACGCATTATAGAGTAATTAATGAATATACAATTTAGGCTAGCAAAAATTAAAAAGAAAAGTAAGTTGAGTTTAGATATTTATATTAAATATGCCTTTTTTATTTAGAATTGAACTCGGTTTAATAATTTCTTGCTGGAAATTCAATTATTCGAAGGGCAAAAAAGACATATTTCTGCACTGATAGGAGAGCGTAACTAGCGCCACCAATTACCATATTCATAATTACCACCTATATTGGGTAAAGGTTGGGAATAAATTAAACGGTGGTTTATTTGGTTTAAAAAATAAATTCTTCTCATATGAAGTTATGCTCTACGGGTTTTATTTTCCAAGCACTAAAAAGTTTCAAAAAATTTAGTTTTTCTGCAATAACTTTCAAACATTATAAGATAATGGAACGAAATTTTAGCATTAGCTTAATTTGATAATCTTCTAGTAACAGGAAAAAGATTGACTTTGTAAGTTACTCAGCGACATGAGAACGGATTGTACCGTAAGGTTTTGCGAACAAAATTGTGGTACGCCACTAGTAAAAACATTTTTTTAATATTTTTTTATGATCAACTTTTTATTTTAAACAAAATTACCCTCTTGCGTTTTATTTCTAGCTCTTGTAATTTTTCCGTAAATAAAACTTTTGTAAATACCATTTTTTTCCACTGCACATTGGAAAATAAAAATAACAAAAACATTGAAGTATGTTTCGACTCAGGCACCTAACATGGTCAAATAGGCATTGAAAAAAGACTTTTGCACTGAAAGTGATATTAAAAAAATAAATTTTTTGAAATATTTTAGCGCCCTGTAGCTTTGAAAAGAAAACCCGTAGAGCATAAACTTTATATGAATATTTATTTTTTTAAATAAAAAATCCACCATTTAATTTATTCCCAATCTTTACGTTACACTCTGTATGTACTTAAAATATTACAAAAAATAGAAAACATTTTTTCAATTTGAACACCGTAGCATGAAGAGGAGTAATATTCGAATAAAACATATTCAGTTCAATTGTTATAATCTTCCCTTAAGATGTGTACCTTTATTAATGAGTTACCCTGTATAGTGCATCAATTTGTTACTTTATAATTTGGTAGTGAAAATTGATGTATTTAAGAAAATATCTTTTGTGCGATCATCACTGAGTATTTTGATACTTCATTTTGATAATGGATACTTAGTGAACATTTTATTTCTGATACAAGTACAAGCGGGAGAAGTTTTTCAAATTTTGTTTATTTTATGCCGTTCACCCCTTGAAATTAAATTTTATATTAAATTAGATAGTAAAATTACTCATTAATTCCCAACAATAAATCTGAAAACAATAAAACCTATCAATTTTAAATGGAAATTTTAGTATTATCTACAGTCATTACTTAAAACTTGTCATTGTTTGTAATCATATTCATGGAATAGATTTTATGTAGTTGAAAGTTCTGAGTAACTTTTAAACAAATTTGTTGATTATTAATGATTTACATACGAAATACATTTACATTCTTTATTTTCTTCAAATTTACAAGTAGATGCTTACATTTATTTATATTAAAAAAAACTAATAATAAGTATTCAGTATTATTTTAAAATTAATATCCTAGTGCAATTAATTCTATGTTCTTGTAGAGCAGATCCGCTCTTAAGTTGTGAGAAATATATTTTGTTCCCACCAACGATGGCTAGTGAAAATTGAAGTAATCATAGTCTAACGATAAAACATGGTACTGATACTGTTTTTTAGGGGATGATTTCCAGACTACATAGAAAACTTTTCTTAGAAAAAAAAATTCTAAAAGGAAATTGCAGAAATTTTCAGTTTTATTAACGTTACAACATTGTGCTTTATTTTGAAAATAGTTGAGTATGTCATCATTGATTTTTATCTGCATAAAAAAAAAATCTGTAAAATATATATGATATGTATAATACATACATAACAAACTATTGAAAAAAACCGTGCTGCTTTTCTCTTGGTATCTTTAATTTTATACAATTTCTGAATATTTAATCTATTTCTACCTTGAAATTACGGTATCATTAGAATAATTATTAAGCACACTTTTTATTAAGCTAAATACTTATGATACTGACAAGTGACAGAATATACAGCAAATACATAGTCTAGGAATTCAATAAAATGTCTTCAAATCGTTAACTTAATTATATATAGAATGTTTTAAATTAGATATGATGCTGACTTCGAAGGTACATGGTGGTTAAATATAAGCAGAGTTTGCGATTTCAGCGATCTTAAGTATTTTTTAACTTCATGAGCAGCATGTGGACGAGCTTCGTCATGTTGAAAAATTATTTTATCCTGCCTTTACTTGAATTACGGCTGTTTTTCCTTCAATACACGGCTCAAACGCATCAATTGTATTCGGCAGCAATGATTTTATTCGGCTGAAGCAGCTCATAGTACGCAACACCAAGCTGGTCCCATCTAATACAGAGCATGAGCTTCATGAATATTCGGCCTTACCGTCGATGGTGATGCATGACCAGAAAGACCCCATGATTTTCTACGCATAGGATTATCATAGCTTATCCATTTTTCATCATCAGTAACGGTACAATTTTTGCTGTTGAAGCAATTGCTCACATGTAAAAAATTGTATCGTATCAATTCGTATAGCACCTAATTTCCTTGCTTTTAAATCATACCGAGTGCATTTAAATGGTAGAAACTATTATACGATCAACATTCAAAGATTCATCAAGTTCATCTTGTGTTTGACATGAATCGTGGTCGAGTAGTGCTTCCAATACCTCAACTTCAAACTTTTTCAGTTGACCAGGGCGTTCTTTGTCAATTGTATCGAAATCACCACTTCTAAAAGGTTGAAACCAATACTCACACGTTTTTATCGATGGAGTATGTTTACCGTAAATTTCCAACAGCACCTGCTGAGTTTCAGCATTTTTCTTTGAATTAAACAAGACGAAGATTCGACATCTTCGGAGAGAGCTTACAGAGCTTTTACATGAATATAGTTACAGAAGTGTCTGATGCAATATAGCATAAGTTACGCCACCTATTGTAAATCCCTCAAAATTAATTCACAGTCGTAGTATGTATATGCTATTGAGCTATTAATATTTTTAATAAAGGAATATTAAATCATAAAAGCAGTAATTCTGAATGTTACTATCAATATGATTTGTAATATATTTCGTTTTATTTAACATCTGTTTTTGAAATATATTTTTAATCAAAATACAATGAGAACAATGTATATTTTTTTTAATGTTGTTAATGTTGTTGAATAAACAAAAAATTCTTCATCGATTATATTAACTAAAATATGTCATTTTTAGAGAATAAGGTCAAAAAGTTTAAAAGACAACAGTAGTTATTCAGAAGCCACTAAGCCACAAAACAAGGTTTTGAATCGATATAGAGACGTAAGTCCTTATGATCACAGTCGAATAATATTACAGAGAGGTTCTACTGATTATATTAATGCAAATTTGATAAAAGTCGAGAAAGCAAATAGAAGATATATTTTAACACAAGGCCCACTTGCAAATACCGTTAGTCATTTTTGGTTGATGGTATGGGAACAACAAGCGAAAGCCGTGTTAATGTTAAACAAACTAATAGAAAAAAGGCAAGAAAAGTGTTATCAATATTGGCCCGCAAAAATTGGAGGTGACCATATAATGACCTTAAGCGATGTTGGCCTTTCTGTAGAATATTTAGAACAACAAGACCATTCTTATTATTTAACTAGGATTCTTAGATTGACTGATACTGAAACTAGCAAATCACGAGATATATTACAATTTCATTATATTACCTGGCCAGATTTTGGTGTGCCTTCTTCTCCAACAGCTTTTTTAGAGTTCCTTCGGAAAGTAAGAAGTGAAGGAGTGTTGGAAACATCTGTTGGCCCAGCAATTGTACATTGTTCCGCGGGAATTGGAAGGTCTGGAACATTTTGCCTTGTGGATTCTTGCTTGGTTCTTGTAAGTAAATTATTAAATAAAAAATATGCATATTTAGAAAACAAAAGTTTGGAAATCCATACTTAGTTGCAGCTTATCAAGCGTAATGTGAATGTGAATAAACAATTACAGAGATGTGCATTAGGGAGAGTCACAAACTAGGTAGTCAGAAAAAAGGGAAATATAGGTGGAGCTACTTCACTCTCCACTATTTTAATTTAATTGAAAACAAGATTAGAATGTTAGAGTTCGGTTTTAAAATGCCACAACTATTGTTTAAAAGTATATTTTAAATTTCCAACTTATTTTTTAATTTTGTAACAATGGGAAAATAACATATTGATATATTTTTTAAATGTGTAAAATATTCTTCGTGCAAGTGGACAAATTTCGCTAAAGTTTTGAAATCGTAAATCAAAGAAGAGCGCATTTAATATAGAATTGTCAGACATTGAAGCAAATTTAAATAAAATTTAACTGTTCTAAATTGAATCAACATTTATTGATTTTTTTTTTATAAGATATCACAGGAGTGACAACTATTTTGTAGTTGGACATTATAATCACCTTGAAATATTTAGAAATATTTGTAAGCAAAATATAATAGTTATTCTTATACCACTCATCAAATGTATTGAACTGTTTCATTATTTTTTCTTAGAGAAATAGTTAATTTTGCATTTAACATTTTTATAATTTCCATTTACCCACTTTCCAGTCCAACATATAAGTTTTGATACTTGTAAACAAATTTTAATTATTGTTGAAACTTTGACCCTAATCCCTTCTATCGTAATCATTAATTGCAGATTTTACTTGTTTTAAGATTGAAAAATTCGGCCTAAATTCTGTAGATGTTAAGGAAATTCTATTAGAAATGCGAAAATATCGAATGGGTCTTATTCAGACTCCTGAACAACTTAGATTTTCTTATCAGGCGATAATCGAAGGTGCCAAACAATTACTTAACCAAAATAATTCGGAACCAGATGAGGTATGTCATAAAAATAAGTAAATGTATAATAGATAATGTAAATCTAACTCGCCATTGCATTAAAAATAATTGTTAGGTTATACCCGACTACCATGAAGTGTCCGAATCAGAAGATGACGAGCCTCCCCCATTACCCCCTCCTAGAATGGATAGTCTGAAGAAACAGAATGGAACATCTCTTGATCGGCCACTTCCAAATATCCCCAAAAGTGTTTCAGACGACGACTTAAATTATGAAAATAGTGATACTTTTGAAAAAGTAACTAGATATGCATTAAGTGGAACTTCTCATAAATACGGTATTTTCAGACTTATATTCCTAGTGGACCTTTGCCAGTGGTTCCAGCAGGAGAAGAAGAAGAAGAAGAGAGTGAAGAAGACGAGCTTGATCCACAATCTGATGGTTCTGTCTCTGATAAGTCAGATTTAGCAAATTCTGTAAACAGGTAATTTTAGAAATTTGTTAAAATAGTTTATTACTTATAAACTATACCAATTTGAAACCTCCCCACTTTTCATTATTTCATTAACTGTTTGAAATATAAAAATTTCTTAAGACATAAATTTTTGTTGGATGGGGAGACAATGAATTTTTCTTATCACAGTAGTCAGAAAGAAATTTTTAACTAACGATATTGTGGGATACGAGGGTTGCTTTTTATATTTTGGAAGTAGAGAACAAAAAAATAAATTAATCATCGTATATGGCTATAATACAATTTGATATACAGGCTGTCTCCTAAAAAATGCCAAAAGCCATAACTCGGTTATTTATAGTCTGATTTTAAAAAACAAAAAATTAAATGAAATGACTCTAAATACACTATAGAGAGAGCCTTTTAGAGCTTATTTACTTTTTTTTTGAAAAACGATGGTCAACTTTTTTTTCAACTGGCAATATAGTTTTTTTGTTATTTATTATTGTGCAGATTTATTTTCTGAATCCAACGATGTATATGAACCTGACTTTTGTAGAGCATTTATTACAGAAAAGGAGAATATATTTTAACTAATAATTATTATTATTAATATCTACCATACTCATCAAAATGTTCTGTTTATGATCTTCACTAATGCTTGGACGTCCAGGTTTTGGAATATCTACAACATCGTCAGTTTGGCTGAGACGGCGATCTGGATGTTTTTCATTAAATAAATCGCAAACTTCCTGCTGCATTCTAGTCTTATCCCCGCATCCGATAAGAATTAAAATTTCAATTCTTTGTGTGACAGTTAAATGTGCCATAATACTTTAAATTCAACAATAATTTTTATATCGCTTACAATACTCAGAAAGTCTGTATAGCAGTAACACTTTGTAAAGATTTACACCTACGTGATCCATAAAAAACTTCAGGCATTTCGAAAAACTAAATTTGATAACGTTTTTGCTTTATTTTAATTGGTTTGGGTTTTCTGACATTCAATCGTTATTTACTCGAAAACTTTCCTATGTAAGATGGCAACATTTTAATACTGTCGGAGTCGGATCGACAATGAAACGATCTTTCAGAATCAACAAAAAAATTGGGGTTGCTATTTAAAAAAAAATGTCGATGACGTCATTACTCGAAAACAAATGACGGTTAAAAATCGCCTTTTATGCTAAAATATGTATTTTTTAAATTAAAAATCGACCTGTTCGAGGATTTTTCCCAAAAAAAATTTGTTTCGTTTTTACTGAATTTATTCCATACTTTGGGCGCATACTGCATATCTCAGTAATACAAAATTGACCACCCCACATAATACGTTTTGTAAATTATATAATATTTAATGTATTTTATGTTTTCTTTTAGATTATCTCCGTCAGAAGTAAGACACAGAAAACGAGTGGAAAGAAAAGAAAACTTGGAGGCTCAAGTCCGGGACATGAAACGACGCCAACAGATTAACGAACAGTGGACACAACTGAAGAGGTCTTTATATATACCTTTAGTTATAGGGGGTTCTCTGATTCTCAGCGGGGGCCTCTTAACTTACTTTTATTTCAAAAGTTAAAAGTGAAAATTTCATTAGTATTTATAGTTGAAACTGGTTAAATTGTTATTTTAGAGATTGATAATTCAAGTACAGTTATACTTTTTATATTTTATTATTGTGTATTAATTATTTCACAAATGTTTTTAGTAGCACTGATCGTTTTATTAAAGAAGTCAAAATTTAATTGAGAAAAATGTTACGGGACATATCAATTCAGTGTTATATTCGTATTGTTTAGTATTTATTTGTTAAAATAATTCATGTGTTAAAAGAAATTTTTTTAACGAATTATTTTCTTTGTATCATCAAAACCGAAGAAGTACCCACTTTGCATTTAACATGCCTTTTGGTATGTACATGTTTTAATCTTTTTAGAAAAATGTGTACAAGTTAAAATTGAATTAAATATATAGTTGTTAACAAAATTAGTAATTCGAAGTAATAATTATCAAAACGATAAAAATTACCCATATATGAAAATTTTTAAAGTTATATCTTCTCTTAATAATTATATTTTTATAATTTGATCGAGGAACATAAAAATTAAATACTTCTATAGAGCTAAAAAAAGAGACGTAAATTCTGTAATTTATCTTTCTCTTCATATACAGGGTGGGCCATTAATTTGAAAAAGTAAAATAACTCCCTTGTTACTCATAAAACAAAAAAGAAGTTTATATAAAAGTTATACAGAATCAAGAAACCGAAATTACAGAATTAATTTGATATACACAGGGTGATGATTAAAAACGGGACATGCCAAATATTACATTTTTTAAATGGAACACCCTGTATATTTTTAAACATGGATTTCCGAAAAAATTCTATACAGGGTCGGAAAGTCCCCATGGTTCATCGGCCGTTACGTGAGAGCGATAAAGTAAGTCATAGAAATCAGTGCGATAGAGAAGGATGGCTATAATGAAGGCTTCTCATAGTCACCGCCCGTTTCGCCCTTCCACAAATAAGATCCACTTCCACTTGTAATTCAGCGACCGGTGGTCATCTTTGTTTTCGCCGTTTGGCTTTTCTTTAATAGATGTCACTACTTATACAATTTCAACTTCGGTATTCCGATATGTTAATACCATCCGTTAACAGAGGGCAGCACAATGCGTAACAAAGAAAAATTTACGGTAGCTAGTAGATGCCTCTGTAAATCTAGTGACCTTGTTTCCCCTACTGAGAAGTTATTCAAATGGAGTATAGTGCTCAGCTGCATTTAAAGTTCATTTAGTTGTTATTTAAGTATACTTTTTAAAATGACTTAAAAATCCCAAGAAATAAAGCAAAATTCCCTATTTCCCCAATTCCAAAAAAAATCTGTAGATCTGGCATCACTCGTTCTAGGGCTGAGCCACACCTTAGACAAATTGCGCTGCCCTCTGTTAACGGATTGTATTAACATATTGGAATACGAAGTCGGAATTGTATAAGTAGTGACATCTATTACAGAAAAGGCAAACGACGAAAACAAAGATGACTACCGGTCCCTGAATTACAAATGGAAGTGGATCTTATTTGTGGAAGGACGAAACGGGCGGTGACTATGTGACGCCTTCATTATAGCCATCCTTCTCTATCGCATGAATTTCTATGACTTATTTTATCGCTCTCACGTAACGGCCGATGAACCATGGGGACTTTCCGACCCTGTATATGGCAATATAAACAGTTGTATCATTTTAGTGCAGGGTTGCCAATTTAGGAAGAAAATTCTTTGAATTTTGGAAAAAACGTGACCTCGAAGAAGTTGTATTAACTTTCAGCTACTAACCCTTGGAACAAAATAATTAGACAGAGTTACAGGCAAATGTTAAGATAAAGGCTCCTATATTAGCTAACATCGATATTATATATAGGGGATTTTTTATAATACTATCACTTCTAGAAAGTTTAAACTTGATTTTCTAAAATTTTTCAAATGGAACACCCTGTATTTTATTGTTCTATTTTATTCACATATCCGTCCACTTCAACTTTTATTAAGCATGTTCTATATCTAAAATTGTTAGTTTTTAAGATATAGCAACATTTCTGAAAAAACTTAATTTTTATTATTTTATAGAATACCGCAAATAAATATTAACTAATAAAATTAACTCAAAATGAAATGATAAATTATGAACTGACAAGTTGACACAATGTGAAAGTTTTTTCCAAAGCCATTTCGTGCGACCAAAAATAATAAAAATTAGGTTTTTCAGAATTGTTATATCTTAAAAATTAACAACTTTAGGTGCAGAATATACTTCATAAAAGTTGAAGTGGACTGATATGTGAATAAAATAGAACAATAAAATACAGGGTGTTCCATTTGAAAAATTTTAGAAAATTTAGTTTGAACTTTCTTAAAATGATCGTATTATAAAAAATGCCCAGTATAAAATATCGATATTAGCTAAATAGGAGTCTTTGCCTAACATTAGCCTATAACTCTGTCAAATATTTTTGCTCCAAGTGGTAGTAGTTGAAAGTTAATACAACTTCTTCGAAGTCATGTTTTTTTCAAAATTCGAAGAATTTTGTCCATAACTTGGCAACCCTGCACTAAAATATTAAACTGCTTATATTGCCATATATAGAATTTTCTCGGAAATCCATATGTTTAAAAATATACAGGGTGTTCCATTTAAATAATGTAATCTTTGGCGTGTCCCGTTTTTACTCATCGCCCTGTGTGTTTCAAATTAATTTTGTCCCTTAGGTTTTTCGATTCTGTACAACTTTTATATACACTTTTTTCCTGTATTATGAATAACAAGGGAGTTATTTTACTTTCTCACACTAATGGCCCACTCTGTATGTGAAGAACAAAATACCCCACAGTATTTTTTTCCGAGATTATAACTAATATTCTTTTTTAATCCTACTGCATATACAGTGCAGTTCAGGAAATCATACAATGCGCAGCTTATTATAAAAACTTCGGAGCTTCTAAATAAAATAGAGTTGTGGACTTGCTGATGAAGAAACAGGAATACGAGGGGGGACCCAAGAATAACCGAAAAATAATTTATTTTTTCGGGTTACAAACATCAATCGCCTTCGAAATAATCCATTAACACTAATACACCGCTTCAAACGTTTTTTCCACTACGCTAAACATCTTTCGTACTTGTCCTTTCCGATGCCTTGCAGCTCTGCCTTCTATTTTCTTTTCACTTCCGGAATGTCGGCGAAACGTTTCTCTTTTGGCCCTTTATATCCGGGGGAACAAAAAAAAAATCAGTTGAGTACGGTGGGTGATAAAGTGGTGTCTTGCGATTTTTCGCTAAAAAATCACGCACAGAAATAGCTGTATGAGCTGGAGCATTGTCATGGTGGAAGAACCATGACAATATAGGAACAAAAAAAATCACAGGGCGCAAGATCAGTTGAGTACCACCGTACTCAACTGATCTAGCACCCACCGGTAAAAAGTGGTGCCATGCAATTTTTCGCTCACAAAGATAGCTGTATGAGCTGGAGCATTGTCGTGGTGGAAGAACCAGTCCCCACTTCACAATCGGGCCGTTTTAACTGAACACTCAAAACACTCGGGTAGAAAACTTGGTTCACTGTTTGAGCTCAAGGACGTACTCTGAGCGAACAATGCCACGGAAAGTTGAAAAACAACATTGCCTTCACAGCCGATTTTACTTGCCGGGTCTTTTTTGGGCGAGGAAGTTTGTGGCTTTCCACTGCGATGACTATTGCTTTGTCTCACCACGATTCATGCCCACTCGAAAAGTTCTCGTCCACTTCCAAGTAGTCCTACAAGTAACGACAAGCAGCACACGAGCCGCCTTTTGATCAGAAGTCAACAATTGGGGGACGAATTTCGCGGCGATTGCAAATTTTCAATTAAAATGTTGCACTAAGACCAGATAATTCAGCAAATACGTCAATAGTACACCTGCTATCCTTGTACACAAGCGCACGAATTTTTTCCACGTTTTCATCAGTTTTGGAAGTGGAAGACCGTCCCGTGCATTGATTGTCTTCGATCGACATGTTGCTGCGATTGATTCGCGAATACCACTTGAATTCTTTTTAAGGCATGCTTTTTATAGGCTGTAGACAACATATAAATAGTTTCCGATGCACTTTTATCGAACAGTAAATAAAATTTCAATGCCGCACGCTGTTTTCGAGTATCAACCATTTTAAAAAATCATAGAAGTCGAAATAGTCGTGACAGGAAAACTGTCTCAGGTGCTCATTATAATCATTTCAAGCAATACCACTTGATAGACTGGCTCAGGGGTTACATAACACTCATCTAGTGGCAGAAGCGCGAACTACAAAAGAAGCACACGCAGCGAATTTTATCCGGTTATATTTTGGGCCCCCCACTCGTATGTACAATTCAATTTATTTCTGTTTAAAACAAATATTGTAATAAATCAATAACACTCGTATAATCAGAAATTTGCCACAATAAAGCTTGAAATCGACATGTTACTCATCGCGTTTTCTGCATTAGATTAAAACTAATCTTTTAAATTTGTATGAATATACAAATGTGTTCATTATGAAACATTTATCAGTGCCCAATGTTATTCGTAGGAAATTTTTTTCAATGCAGGAATATTCAAATGCATTTATTTATTAGGTGTTTTTTTGTCAAAATGTGACATTTTCAACTTTGGCATAAAAATCTAACTGTGTCGTTATCAAATAATTTTAAGGGCAAGTTTTTAAATTCATAGAAAATGTGCGTCTATCGAAATCTCAATAAAACATTTTTTTTGTTATGTACCATTCGATCAGTTCCATAGAAGCGATTCACAAAATGTGCATTTCTATTCAATTGCTTATCAAACCCATCAGGTTCGGAGTTCAACAGTTGGTCATTAAAACATAGGGATCTAGGAGGCCTGGACGATATTTTAACCTTCTAATAGATAGATCATATGGCCTTATGTATAGGTACCAATTTTCGTTATTCTAC